AAAGTGAAGGTTAGCACTTGCTAACAGATCCCCGGTCTGTAAAGCACGGTTTTGGCTGCAGTGTAACGTTAGCTAAATTAGTAACAGAGTAACGTTAATTAGTTGCGTGTCATTACTACCTAACTTTTTGAGGAATGAGAAGAGCAGGTTGAAGCTAAACTGGTGTCCTGTACACAAACTGTACATCCTGATAGTTAAGTTATATTTCAGTGTCCAGGGGAGTCGGACAACTAGGAAGGACGCTGGTGACCACGGAGGAGCTGAGGCTACTAAAGTAAATCAGGGATGTAAACTAGTCCTTTTAAGCAATTGTGGAGATGTAAGTGTTATTAATGTTGTAGCTGAAAAATACATTTCTTTTGGATTTTAATGTGTAAATAAAATGCTTAGTAATTATCCAGAAATTAAACAGAAAAAAATGCATCAAGATGGATCGCTGCCCTCTGAACTATAATCAAAAACAATCATGAGGTGCCAAGAGATTCTCATTCCTACTGCCCAAACAGTATTCCCATTCAGTTACTTTAAAATGTCTTTTATTAGGCTACGTTTTGAGAAGCGGTTGTCTTTAATGGTCCACTGCATCTGTTAGGGCCTGTCCATAGGCTGCCATTCATCTGTGACAACATCTAAGCCTCTTACATGATGTTGGTCGGCAACAGGTCTTCTCTTGAGCGATCTCTCGCCACCCTGAGAATGAGTTTCCTTGATTTAAGTATGTTGTGTTTTTGTGCTAAACTGCAAAATGTTCAAAATTCATACAGATTGTTCATAAAGCGAAGAAACATAAATAAAAGTTGTTTTCCTGCGCAAAATGTGTCACTTTACTTAAAGCAAACAACTACGTGTTATAAGGTAATTAGTTCATGTGGTATTATGTCCACCTGTAATATATTATACAGGGATCAATATTTACACTTAAAGCAAACAAAGACATGATATAAAACTTTACTATAAGCTAAATATTCCATTTTATATCACTAATTGTAAATGGTAACTGAAGTGTATCCATAACGAGGCAGAGTCGGTGGTTATAATGTGTTATGGAACATGGGCGGAGATTCTTGCCGCACATTGATATAAACTGGTATTACTATTAGTTATAAAACATTAACATAATACGTTATGAACTTTGATGTAGTGCCTAATACATGTTTGTAAGTGATTATAACAATTGTTATAATGTCTCATGTATGCATTATATCATGTTATCAATATATGCATAAGTCATTATAGCAATGACCTTCATAGAAAGTGTTACCAAACTAAATCACAACAGTTATTGTACAACATTTTCAAATATACCAGGCAAATGTCCATATTTTGGCAATATTTACTTTTAAAATGTTGATTGGTAGATATCTATAAAACAGTTCCAAATGACAAAACATTGCAATATTGATAAAAACAGGAGTATTCATCAACATTCCTGTCACCAAAAGCACACCCATGATTTACAGGCCTGTAGATTGAGAACGGATCCCACAGTGATCGGGGGGGCGGGGTATCAATCGATCTGGCTTGAGCAGACCTTTCATTTGGTACCCTGCATGTCTATATATCTCCAACGGATCGGCCACAAAATGGCAAAAAACACCGTATGTTCTCAAGCGGCATGTTTTCTCTCTGCAGAAAAAGACGCCAGCAGGCAGGCAGCTTGCAGATATTGCACAATAATCAAGATGCCGCCCGCTTAGACTCGGAGCAACAACATCGGTGGGTTTCAGAGTTAAAACGGCGAAAAAAGATTTTTCAATCAGTAATATCGCCCATAGCGGTTGCCTTGGTACCGGGAGGAATTAAAACGGCGGAGAAAAATGTATTTCTACACGGCCCTGCTCAAACCACGAAATGGTTAGAACAGCGGAGAAATACCTTGTTTCTACACGGCACTGTTCGAAGCCCCAAATGGTTAGCAGCGGAGAAACCAGTGTTCTACACAGACCTGCTCAACCGGTCAAAACAGCGGAGAGAATCTGCAGTAATTCTGCTCGGCCCTGTTAACTAAGGATCCACGTGTGAGATGGTACAATCAAAATAGCAATTTAAGCTGAAAGTCTAAGAAAAAACAAAGAAAAACAAATGTAATTTTGTACTTTATTTCAGACACCGTTTAAGGACAACGTAGGTCCAACTCTTTTGAGATGGTAGTGGCAACGGTCCGGGCGTGGACGGTCGACCCTCCCGTCTCTTAAGTCAATGAGCTGGAGGCTGAGACACTTTACTCCAAAATGATCAGTCGCCGGCCGTCTTTGCCAAACCATCCCACTTCTGATACCTAATGTAATGGAAATATGTCCTTTAGTGAGTCTTCTGAAATAAAGAGTCCAATCCAGACGTCTTTTAAATGTTTTATTCTTTGCAAAGGGTCAGACAGACAGACAGAGTGCAGCCAGTCTGCAGAGTGGAAGACAAAGAGTCGGTGTAGAATCATGTGACTTTATATTACGCAGCTGTCTTAGGGAGGAATGGACCAGCTGTCCTGAGATGAAGGCCTATCATGGACAGTCAGATAAGGAACCTCTCTAACGAGCATCTTTCCCATGGGAACCTTCACCCAGCTGCAACATAATAAAAAGCTCAAACACCACACAGTGAAACACTGGTCTACAATAATGAAGCATGCAGGGTGAAACAGGAAAATATCAAATTTCAGTGCTATTTTCCATAAAAGTCAATGTCCAGACGTCTCCACATTTATTTTAAAGATCTCGAGCACGACATGACGACATGAGATGAAATAATATGACTCAAGAAAGCAACAGCGGAGATGCATGGTTTTCTCTGGACATTTCTGTTGGGAAATGATCCTTTATTTATTTGTTTGGCCAACAGGACTCACACTGATTAGGATCAATATGTATTGATGAGGTGATGAGGATTGGTGACAGAGTCCGTATGAGTGTCCGTATTAATATGCGTCTTCATGCTGGTTTCTCTGTGAGTCCCTTTAACAGTTGAACACATCACTGTTGGTGTTCTTATTTAATGACGTGGAAAGAGGAGAGACGCTGAATGGATTTCACATTTTTCTAAATGGCTTCACTTTGTATAATGAGGAATATTATTTCTTCAATCATCTAAAATCAGTGACGTTAGTCTCTTTAGAAAAAAAGTTCACTGAACAGGATTGTTGCACTTTTTCACTTTTGTTTGATAAAATAAAAACTAGGTTACAACTGTAACACAAGAATTTCCTCTTGGGGGTCACTAAAGTATTTCTGATTCTGAGTTAAAGAGACCTCTGCTGGAAGCTAACTACAAACCAACATGTCCTCACCCTCCAGCTCTTTGTCTTTGTACAAACAGAGACTTCATCACAGTTCAGGAACAGATTGATTCATGGTAAACGGTCACGCGCCTCTCTGGCTGGTTCCTGTTTTAAAGTTTCACTTCTCTGGACGCCCTGTTGAAGAAGAAGAAGATATACTTTATTGCTTTATTGTTGCAGCTTCTTTTCTCCACCAGGACCTTCAGCTGAAGGTAATGTCAGCTGCTTGACTTGTTTTCCTGGTTAACAGGAGCTGTGGTTAGCTCAGCTGCGCTTCATTTCACCAAACTCAGAGCTTTACTGGAAGCTCGGGACGAAGGAGGCGGAGACGAGCCGCTGCTCTCCCGCTGTCTGAGCCACTAACTGCTGCTGGAGAACAGCTGTTTGTGTCGGTGAGTGCTGTCAGTAGATTTGCCTGCAGGACTGAATGAAGCTTCTTCACAAAGACAGTCAGCTGATTCTTTATAGATCTGTATTCATTTACATTTATTCATTTAGCTGACGCTTTTATCCAAAGCGACTTACAATTGCTATACATGTCAGAGGTCGCACGCCTCTGGACAACGAGGGGTCAAGTGTCTTGCTCAGGGACACAATGGTGGACGTGTCACAGTGGGAATCTAACCCAGGTCTCCCACTACGCCTTCACCACCCCGTATTCAGTGTCATATTATTCAGATGTGTTGGATTGTCTGTCTGTAGATAAATGTCACATGTCTGCATGGTCAGCTGACCTGCTGTGGTCTGACTAAAAGACATAGCTCAGCAGTTTATTAGAAGAAAACCAGCTGAACACTGAAGCTGTGATCAGAGTTCTCTACAGGAAACAGAACCACATTTTAACAAATTCATGTTACTATTTATTTTGTTATTCTTAAAGGTGGGAAAAGATGTAATGTTGTTATATTGGAGTCTTAAACCCTGTTGGTGTGAAATAATCACCTGTAGCTTGTTGCAACAGCCAATGTCCCAATCCCCTCACAGACTCAGACTTTGAGGCGAGTTCCCGGGACGTCCGTGAGGGCTTAGGGCCGTCCCACTGTCAAATGGTCAAGTGCGCGAGGGCTCTCTCTGACATTTTGAGCCCTTTTTAGACCCTTTTCGTAAGTGGGAATTGCCCACAGTTCATAGCGGGATGATGTGAAACACGGGGGTTACCAGAGAAATATCACGTTATAAGAGAAGAAAAAACAGTAAACAAACAAGCATCAACACCTACGCTGATGTCAGAATTCTTAAAAGTTTTCTTAACTTAAAATGCTGCATAGAACACATGAAGTCAGAGGAACGCAATCACCTTATTACACACTTCGTTTATTCAACTATTTATTTTAGTTTTGGCTTAATGATGCTGTTTCACCAACAATAGTGTATTGATTATTGACAGATATGAAATATATTGAAATGTATATTGACATCTCCTCTCTGTAGGGCAAGAGCCTGCAGGACTTAAAAATCAGGCAAAAACATTTTTAAAAAGTGTGCAACGTGTTTCAGCATTGTCACAGTAATGTGATAAAGTGGCAAAGTGCTGTCCTGTTCCTGTTTACAGCATTTTGAGCCCTTTTAGCCTCTAAAACTCAATCCCTTTCCAAGTGACGTCAGTAAAGTCTGTGAGAGTTCAGGGTTAGGGCTTAGGGGGGACATTGGGATTGGGCCCTTTTCTACAGGGACTCTGTAGATGGAGAGATAAAGTGCAGATGTCAGGGGGGAGCTTGTTCCAGAGGTTTGGGCCAGCAACAGCGAAGGCCCACAGCCAATCAGTGGAGGAGCAGCTGATGGCAGCTTCCTCTGCCTCACGCTGCTGTCTGACTGCATTCAGCTGCCACTGATATGAAACAGAAACTAGCAGCCAATCAGTGGAGGAGCAGCTGATCTTTTTCCAGGAGAAATGATGGAAAGGAGGATTTGAGCTGATGTGCAGATGAATGATTTGTGTTTCCTCTCCAGGTGAAAGTGGATGTGAGTTGAGCAGCATGAGTCAGTGTGAGGACAGAGAGGAGGGAGTCCCTCCCTCTAAAAGCACTCTGTGTGGGGAACATGACAGCCAGACCAAAGCTCAGAGGTGAGATGAGGATCTCTAACTGTCCAGGACTCAAATCACTCCACCATCATTATTCACTCTCAAAGCTCTGTGTGTGTTGTGTTGAAGCCCAGAGCAGCAGCAGGGACCGGACTCTGCTGGACCTGGACCTGAGCCCAGCTGTGTGTCCTTTAAGAGTGACCGGTCAAATCCTCGCCATATTAATTTTAAAGGACGACAACCCTCTGCTGGACCTGGACCTGGACCTGGACCTGAGCCCAGCTGTGTGTCCTTCAACAGTGACTGGTCAATGGGTCGCCTCATTAATTTTAAAGGAGGACATGTGTCTGACAGACAGTGAGTATCTGTCAGTATTAAACAGTGTTGGCCAATCAGAGCTAAATGTTCATGTCTCCCTCCTCATGTTGCTCACTGCTGATGTTTGTCCTCATTAAATCCAGTCTGACCAGTTGTCCTTCTAATGTCCATGTTCTCCTAGAATGATGATGAAGGTCAGAGCCAGATTAGGATTAAAGGACAGGTCCACATGTTTTCCAGTCTGTCCCTAAACAACACTGTCATGCCCATATGTCCACTGAAAGAGTTGTTGGTGGCTGGAATTGTTCCTCCTGTGCACACTGGCCCTGAAGAGATCTCTTCCTGATGGGGTTTCAATGGAAGTGATGGAGGACAGAGTCCACAGTCCTGCTTCTGTGTAGAAAGACATTGGAAAGTTCAGCTGAGGACAATATGAGGCTTCAGCAGTCTGAGTTCCACATTTACATTTACTCATTTATCCAAAGAGACTTACATTTAAGGAACAACATACAAGCATCAACAGAGCATCAAATACTGCACGAGATCTCCAGCTGACAATACATACTAGAGCAATAATAATGCTAATAAGAGCTAATAGCACATAGAATCACAAAGAGCTTTATGGGCCAGTAGTTTTTTACACGTACGAGGAATTAGCTTTGGTGATGAGGTGCTACACGTAGACAAACATACAGTTGACATAAATAAATGTAGAAATATATAAATATGGAATAAACAAATGCAAGTTGTATAAGAATAAGAAAAGAATAGAGAAAAATAATCCAACTGTTTGCAGATAAAGAACAACATGAGATATTTACATGTGCAATATTCCAGGTTTGTGTTGTGCAGACGCATCAGTGGGGTAAATACCCAGGGAGAGAAGTAAGAGTTAACAAAAAAGTGCCATCAATACAAGATAATTGTAAGGGGATAGAAGAAGAAGAGCACAGGCAGTGCATGTTAGAGGTTAGAGGTGTTATCAGAGGAAGTGTTCTCTGCAGAGTTTCCAGGAGCTTCTTGAAGTCAGAGAGGGACGCCCCTGCTCTGATGACGTGTGGTAGCTCGTTCCACCATCGTGGTGTCACAGATGAGAACAGGGACTGGGATTGCTTTGTGTGAAGGGATGGCAGAGCCATTCGTTGGAGGAGCTTAGCGGCCGAGAAGGAACGTAAGTTTGTATTATGGAGTTTAGGTAGATGGTGCAGACCCAGCAGTCACTCTGTATGCAGCATTAGTGACTTGAATTTGATTGTGGAGGCCCCGGGGAGCCAGTGGAGGTCACTGAGTAATGGAGGGACATGAGTCCTTCTGAACCATTAGTAAGGGTTTCACCGCACAAGCTGGAAGACCTGCTAGGAGGGCATTAAATAGTCGAGGTGAGAGATAACCATGGCCTGTACCAGAAGCTGGGTGGCGTACTGAGTGAGGTAGGGCCTGATTTTCCTTATGTTGTATAGAGCAAAGCGGCACGACTGAGAGACAGCAGCAACATGGTCTGAAAAGGACAGCTGGTCATCAGAATCAGAATCGATTTATTCGGCAGGTATGTGTTCACATACAAGGAATTTGACTCTGGATTGTACATTGCTCACGATGTGCTTACTCGTACAATAACACAATAATAAAATCAGACACAGGCTACAGCATAGAGAACACAAATATACACAGAGAAACAAAATAAACAGAAACAAAAACAATGTAGACAGGTTGACAAATAGTGCAGTGAGCAGAGTGCAAAGGATGCAGGAGTAAAATTATTATGTACATGTCGGAGGTGGATGTGATATACAGGTACACATACAAGGACATGCATACATGTACACAGTGCGATGGAGCATAGTGCAAAAGGTGCTGGAATAAATAAGTATTTTGTGCAGGTGTTATGAACTTGAGGTAGGTGGGTGCACAGGAGTTGTTCCTGACACTGTGAGTCAGAGTCAACTGTTCATCAGAGTGATGGCTTGTGGGAAGAAACTGCTTCTGTGTCTGTTGGTTTTGGCGTACAGTGCTCCTTAGCGCCTACCAGAGGGGAGGAGCTGGAACAGGTTGTGTCCGGGGTGAGATGGATTTGCAGTGATGTTTCCTGCCCGTTTCCTCTGGCAATGTAAAAGTCCTGAATGGAGGGCAGGTTGGCACCGATGATCTTTTCTGCAGTCCTGACTGTCCCTTGTAGTCTGCTCCTGTCCTTTTTGGTGGCAGATCCAAACCAGACAGTGACGGAGGTGCAGAGGACAGACTAGATGATGGCTGTGTAGAAGTGGATCAGCAGCTCCTTAGGCAGGTTGAGCTTCCTGAGCTGGCGCAGGAAGTACATCCTCTGCTGGGCCTTCTTTATGATGGTGTCTGTTTTGGGCTCCCACTTTAGACAAGTCAGGTCAGCTATATTTATATAGCACATTTAAAAACAACAGGAATTGACCCAAAGTGCTTTCCAAGAACACAATACACACAAAAACAAGTATAAACGAACAAAAGAACAAAGAGATTATACCACTGTGTATCCAACTACACAATAAAACACTAGTGCACCACTACACATTAATAAAAAGAATATGGAGAACTTGGTAGAGATAAAATTCAAAGACACTAAAAGAATGTAAATAAGAACATCAGATTAAAATGGATTAAAATAAATAAATAAAATAAGGGACAGAATCAGGTAAAAGCCAGAGAATAAAGGTAGGTCTTTAAATGAGGCAGATGACCGTTGTGTCATCAGTGAACTTCAGGAGTTTAACAGATGGGTTTCCTGAGGTGTGAGAGGTCTGACTGTAGGCTTTTCAAGCCATAGTCTGAAACTTCCTCTTTTTATTAAACCTGTGTGTTTATTTTCAGCATCGTTCTCCTTCACATACATTTATATTCTCACATCTGAAGCTGCCCAGTAGAACCAGTAGAACCAGTAGAAGCAGTCTTCAGCTCTTGGCTTCAGTTTAACATTTTCTCCGCACACACGTTCTGACTGTTGAGCAGCTCCAAAGCGACTGCCTTTACCTTGTGTCTGTGTGGACAGACATAATGGCCCTCATTAATGAAAAGTACGTACACCAAAATACCAGCGTACTCAGGGTGTACGCACAAACCCAGGGTGGTTTCGAGATTTATCAGTATGGATGTCAGCGTACGGCACGCTCAAATCCTACGCCAGCTCAGGAGGGGGTGTACATGTACGCAAGTTTTGAGTTAGAGCCAAAATGCGCAGAAATCATTTCTTAACAGCACAAAACGCACTGACAAACTAAAATGCATGATATATTATGACCCACTGTAACAGAAACAACGTTTGAAACATTAATTTTGGTGTTTATATTTGAGGAACACGGACTTTATACAGCCTGTATAATATTTGAGCAGTCAAAACATGCTTTGATTTGTATTTGGACTATTTTATCGTAGCTTTAGGTGCCTTTTATTTGGGTTTGCTTTGGGCTTGAAGCACTGAGACTGGCTGCCCAAATGGACACAGCCCCACGCCCTTTAGGTGAGGCTGGCACAGACATGTCGCGCACAAAGCCCTGCATTTTTATAAGACAAACTTTATATTATGACAGCAACAGCGAGCACCGACACCCCCGCTAAAGGCCCCGCGTCCCCGGACTCTGGTCCACGCTGGTCCCGGTGTGAGTCCTTGGTCAGTGCGTAAAGCCCAGTCCCGGAGGTGATGGAGCAGCTTTTTATCAGAGCAACATGCTTTCATTTGGAGCATATTAGGGACTTAACTTTGATGGGCGTTTTAGCAGTGCTAAATCCATCTCTTGGAGCACCACAAGTAGCCAATTTATAATTAATATATAAAATATATTCTAGTTTGCACGGAACGCGCTCCGCAAACAGGTGGTACAGACGTGGTGCAGCTCATCATTGTGTTCGGACAATGTTTCACTCTGAACATAAAAGAAAAGTTACAGTGAGCACTCACCGCGGACGGTCAGATCCAAGTCCGTGCGTAATAGTCCCAGGACAGCGCAGAGCACTGTTTCCCAAAGCCACAAAACATTATGAAGGCTTGCTTTGCACGCTGGGGGTCCACCGCCCCGTATCTGTCCGTATGTCCTCCGTTCATCAAAGTAAAGGCTCAGCAAGAGGCTCTTGGCCCGTGCCCTGCTCCTCCGGGATGAGCGCATCCTCCTCTGGGGGAATAATTGGGTGCGTTTCATTCAAATTACGCACGTTTTCAGCCGCCACATTTATCAAAACCAGGTGGTGCGTACACCTGAAATGCCAGGGTACACTCTCATTGATAAATCAGGCGCTGAGAACAGTGTAAGCATAATCTCACACACAAAAATACGCCCGTTTCTACGGAAGATTGATAAATAGGGATGGGGATCGTTCATTTTTATTGATGTTGATACCCTTACTGAGACTGCTTAATGATCCGACTCTTTATCGATACCACTATCAATACTTTACTATTATTTAGTGATGGTTATTTGGTAAGAGCAGACCCAACGGGCCTGAGGTAGAACTGCACGGTATGAGGGAAATATTCAATGTGCGAGAACGTTATATATTGACATGACAATAAATCAACATATATTTTAATTTAATATTTTAGCTAAATGTTGTTTCTAGAGCAGCAACATTAATATTTACAACAGCAAAGTAACTCAGTAACTGAAAGAACAACATCAGTCTGTATCAGTCCCTCCTCCTCTCTCCTGGCTGCAGGTAACGTTACAGGTAGAAGGAGGAGCGGCTGGTTTGTTTTTAAGACTACAGACCAGTCTGTGCTCCAGACGGACCGCTTTCTATTTAGCTTGTTTTTAACATTTGGCTAATGCCGAGCTAGCGTTAGCTGTGTTTGTATGAAACATACAGGATGAGATACTGAGGACAGAGATGATTAAAGGAACCATTTCTACATGTTTAACGTTACATTACAGACTGGTGGATTGTCTTTTTACTTGCGAAGGTTTTATTGCAAGTACTTACAGTAACGAGCGTAGCTGTCATCAACTAACGTTACAGTAATTTGGAGCTAACTTCACCCTCACCGTAACGTTACTCCACCGCGACGGCGCCGCCTCTCGCTCTGCTGCCGCTGTGTGAGCTGTTGAGTGTGTGTGTGTAGGAGCCGACAGAGAGCAGGCAGCCTGATGATTTTCTTATCCATCCATTCAAATTAATTCAGATTTCATGCTCGAGACATAACGTTACATCAGAGGACCCGCAAGTCTCGATAGCACTATCGATAAGCTCGAACCTTATTGATTTTTGGGTTTAGAGAAATTTTGGAACCGGGTCCTTTTGGAACCGGGTCTCGATCCCCATCCCTATTGATAAATGAGGGCCAATATGAGCTAACTCTTCATGATTCCCCCACAGAGTCCACCAGGAGAGCTCAGAGGTTCCCTGTGGTCAGTCTGCCCAGCAGCATCAAACACACCTGGACTCCATATTTATGGTCTGTACATGTACAACAACTACTTTTCCATCTATTCCTTTCACAATAATCTCCATGCTGCACTTTTTAGACCAGTGGATTGTCAGTCTGTCCAACATGGATCTGATGTTTGGTTCCATGATTTGACTTTGATTGTGTCCTTCATATAATATTCTGTTCCAGCTGCTGGAGGAGAACATTGTCACTTTTGTGAAGAAGGAGCTGAAGAAGATCCAGAAGGGTCTGAGTTCAGATTACCCAGAATGCTTAGAGAGTCAGAGGGAGGATGAGGAGGTGTTGGACGGTGAGGAGGAAGAGCAGAGGAGGAGCAGCAGAGAGGCATTTCTGAAGATCACACTGCACTTCATGAGGAGAATGAAGCAGGAGGAGCTGGCTGAGCATCTGCAGAGCAGTAAGAGGATTTCTCTAAAGATTGAAGCTGCTGGATAAACGGGACATTTACTGATGGCTCAACAGATGGGGGGAAACATGTTTATATAAGGAAATGAAACTGTCACATGGACTTCAATGATTGATCTGTTTGTTGTGTCTTCCTTCAGAACATCTTGCTGTAGTTTGTCAGCGTAAACTCAAGTGTAACCTGAAGAAGAAGTTCCAGTGTGTGTTTGAGGGGATTGCTAGAGCAGGAAACCCAACCCTTCTGAACCAGATCTACACAGAGCTCTACATCACAGAGGGAGGGACTGCAGAGGTCAATGATGAACATGAGGTCAGACAGATTGAAACAGCATCCAGGAAACCAGACAGACCAGAAACAACCATCAGACAAGAAGACATCTTTAAAGCCTCACCTGGAAGAGATGAACCAATCAGAACAGTGATGACAAAGGGAGTGGCTGGCATTGGGAAAACAGTCTTAACACAGAAGTTCACTCTGGACTGGGCTGAAGACAAAGCCAACCAGGACATACAGTTCATATTTCCATTCACTTTCAGAGAGCTGAATGTGCTGAAAGAGAAAAAGTACAGCTTGGTGGAACTTGTTCATCACTTCTTTACTGAAACCAAAGAAGCAGGAATCTGCAGGTTTGAAGAGTTCCAGGTTGTGTTCATCTTTGACGGTCTGGATGAGTGTCGACTTCCTCTGGACTTCCACAACAATGAGGTCCTGACTGATGTTACAGAGTCCACCTCAGTGGATGTGCTGCTGACAAACCTCATCAGGGGGAACCTGCTTCCCTCTGCTCGCCTCTGGATAACCACACGACCTGCAGCAGCCAATCAGATCCCTCCTGGGTGTGTTGACATGGTGACAGAGGTCAGAGGGTTCACTAACCCACAGAAGGAGGAGTACTTCAGGAAGAGATTCAGAGATGAGGAGCAGGCCAGCAGAATCATCTCCCACATCAAGACATCACGAAGCCTCCACATCATGTGCCACATCCCAGTCTTCTGCTGGATCACTGCTACAGTTCTGGAGGAGGTGTTGAAGACCAGAGAGGGAGGAGAGCTGCCCAAGACCCTGACTGAGATGTACATCCACTTCCTGGTGGTTCAGTCCAAACTGAAGAACGTCAAGTATGATGGAGGAGCTGAGACAGATCAACACTGGAGTCCAGAGAGCAGGAAGATGATTGAGTCTCTGGGAAAACTGGCTTTTGAGCAGCTGCAGAAAGGAAACCTGATCTTCTATGAATCAGACCTGACAGAGTGTGGCATCGATATCAGAGCAGCCTCAGTGTACTCAGGAGTGTTCACACAGATCTTTAAAGAGGAGAGAGGGCTGTACCAGGACAAGGTGTTCTGCTTCGTCCATCTGAGTGTTCAGGAGTTTCTGGCTGCTCTTCATGTCCATCTGATCTTCATCAACTCTGGTGTCAATCTACTGGCAGAAGAACAATCAACCTCCCAGAAGTCTAAAGAAAGAAAAGATGACACAGTGACACAGTTCTACCAGAGAGCCGTGGACAAATCCATACAGAGTTCAAATGGACACCTGGACTTGTTCCTGCGCTTCCTCATGGGTCTTTCACTGCAGACCAATCAGACTCTCCTACGAGGCCTGCTGACGCAGACAGGACATGGCTCAGAAACCAATCATGTGACGGTCGAGTACATCAAGAAGAAGATCGAAGAGACTCCCTCTGCAGAGCAAAGCATCAATCTGTTCCACTGTCTGAATGAACTGAAGGATGGTTCTCTAGTGGATCAGATCCAACAGTCCCTGAGTTCAGGAAGACTCTCCACAGATAAACTCTCTCCTGCTCAGTGGTCAGCTCTGGTCTTCGTCTTACTGTCATCAGAAAAAGATCTGGACGTGTTTGACCTGAAGAAATACTCTGCTTCAGAGGAGGTTCTTCTGAGACTGCTGTCAGTGGTCAAAGCCTCCAAGAAAGCTCTGTAAGTGGGATTAATTCATCAATAACTACTCTGCTATCTTTCAACTGGAGAAAAACTAAATGTGTTATTACTCGTTTCCTTCTTGTTGTCTCTCCAGACTGAGTCTGTGTAACCTCTCAGAGAGAAGCTGTGATGTGACTCACACATTGTTCAGCACAACATATGAGCTTTGGCAGAGACGGAAAACATATTTCATGTTTTGATATAATGTAATTTATTTACTGGTTGTCTGTTTATTCCTGATTCAGTCATGATTAGTTTCCAAAACTCAAACGTGTTTAAATTAAAACAGCAAAGAACAGATTATGTACTGTGTAGTGCATTACCAAAATCTCAGATTTAACATTTTAAAACAAATGTTTTTCTTGTTGATTATTTCCTTTCCAGACTAAGTGGCTGTAACCTCTCAGAGCAAAGCTGTGAAGCTCTGTCCTCAGTTCTCAGCTCCCAGTCCTCTGGTCTGAGAGAGCTGGACCTGAGTAACAACAACCTGCAGGATTCAGGAGTAAAGCTGCTGTCTGCTGGACTGCAGAGTCCCCACTGTACACTGGAAATACTGAAGTCAGGATTCATTAACCCACTGAACTGATGACCATCTAAAATCTGATTTACATTGGTGGATAAACAGCTAATTTGTGACTGTGTCCTTTAACTAAACTTCAACATTAGTTTCCAGACTATAATCATTTCTAATAACAATAATTTTCTGTTTTTGAATTATGAAATGCCACACACGATTTTAAAGATGTAGCCTAAATTTGTATCTGAAACAAAAAGCATCCCGCCTCTTGTTCTCAGAGGGTTCCTGTGAGTGTTGTTTTGTGTGTTTGCAGGCTGTCAGGCTGTCTGATCACAGAGGAAGGCTGTGCTTCTCTAGCTTCCGCTCTGAGCTCCAACCCGTCCCATCTGAGAGAGCTGGACCTGAGCTACAATCATCCAGGAGACTCAGGAGTGAAACTGCTGTCTGCTGGACTGGAGGATCCACACTGGAGCCTGGTCACTCTCAGGTATGAAGAGGCCCTGCTGTAGCCACAGACAGTCAGTCTGATAGAGGAGTTATTTTGGTTAATGGTGGATATGAGAACAGAACGGGCTCACAGAGATCTGTTATCTGTAGTTGAAGCACAAAAAATGACAAATTAATAACATGTTAACAACGTGTAGCTAAACGCTCCACTGCTGAAACACAGTGTGAGTTGACGCCAAACAAAACCGCAGCACAGTCGCTGCCTGTTTAGGTTTGGCTGGGCCATTATCCCACATTATCTGAGGCAAAACTTGCACAACTTGGCAAAGATGTGGCTCCAAACATATGCGCAACTTTTCTGTGCTCTACTAGGATCTAGTTATGGTCTCCATTCAGATAAACCTCAACAGATCTGAATCCTCAGCTGGTACTCTGACCTGATGAAACATGGCCTCGATGTTTGATTCATTTTCAATAGCTTCTATGTCATGTGACCCAGGGATTTTAAACCAAAGCTGAATTGTAGCACTACTCTGGACAAATGAGACAAACCTATTTTGCTCGTATTTTAGCGCTTTTTCTATTTTCTATTAATATTTTATTAAAAATGTGCATTTATTTTCATTAGCTTCCATGTCATGTGACCTTGACCTGACAAAGTCAAACAGCTTTCCTGTAACCATAGTAACTAATCTCAGTCCTCACACACAGAATGAGTGTTGGGTCAGATGTGCGACCAGGCTGGGCCAGTTAAGCCTGGTCCCCACCTTCACCAGCTTTTTAAACTTTGTCAAAAAATACTTCATTAACTTTCTACTATAGTCAATAAGTTTGCAGTCAAAAACTTCTCTGGAGAGGGTCAAGAGTCGGTGCAAAAGAGTTTATTCCAAAACAGGACAGATAAACCAGTCCAACATCCCTGCAGGTCGGAGTATTGAGTCAACCCTGTGGTCTGCAGACAGCCTTATATATCCCCTCTGGGCTGGTTTGCCCCCTCCCCTCCTTTTGGTGAACTTCTTATCCTCTGCTTTTATGCTGCTTACATACATACATACAAACTAATTAACACTGTTCTTCAGCTGTCATTCATTACTGTATAGTTGACTTTCTATATTTTTACACTACTGGATAAGAAATTCACCATTTACATTTCAACTTCAGTCTCACCGTTTCTTTTAAAGTTATGCATGAATAATCTGACACACAATTATATTTCTCAAAGAATATATAATACAAGAATAACATGTAGTGCTGTGCCTTTCATTAATGCTTGGTTTCTTACAATAATCTTGATGTTGCGTTGGCTGTTTTCTGCTTTCTGTTTATCATCTTTTTGACGTCTTCAATTTATCCTCTCTCTGTCGTCTTCTATTCATCGTCTCTCTGTCGTCTTCTATTCATCCTCTCTCTGTCGTCTTCTATTCATCCTCTCTCGTCTTCTATTCATCCTCTCTCTGTCGTCTTCTATTCATCCTCTCTCTTGTCTTCTATTCATCCTCTCTCGACTTCTATTCATCGTCTCTCTGACGTCTTCTATTCATCCTCTCTCTCGTCTTCTATTCATCCTCTCTGTCGTGTTCTATTCATCGTCTCTCTGTCGTCTTCTATTCATCGTCTCTCTGACGTCTTCTATTCATCCTCTCTCTTGTCTTCTATTCATCCTCTCTCTCGTCTTCTATTCATCCTCTCTCTGACGTCTTCTATTCATCGTCTCTCTGACGTCTTCTATTCATCGTCTCTCTGTCGTCTTCAATTTATACTCTCTCTGTCGTCTTCTATTCATCCGCTCTCTTGTCTTCTATTCATCGTCTCTCTGACGTCTTCTATGCATCCTCTCTGTCGTCTTCTATTCATCGTCTCTCTGTCGTCTTCTATTCATCGTCTCTCTGACGTCTTCTATTCATCCTCTCTCTGTCGTCTTCTATTAATCCTCTCTCTTGTCTTCTATTCATCCTCTCTCTCGTCTTCTATTCATCCTCTCTCTTGTCTTCTATTCATCGTCTCTTTGACGTCTTCTATGCATCCTCTCTGTCGTCTTCTATTCATCGTCTCTCTGTCGTCTTCTATTCATCGTCTCTCTGACGTCTGCTATTCATCCTCTGTCGTCTTCTATTCATCCTCTCTCTGTCGTCTTCTATTCATCCTCTCTCTCTCGTCTTCTATTCATCGTCTCTCTGACGTCTTCTATTCATCCTCTCTCTCTGACGTCTTCTATTCATCCTCTCTCGTCTTCTCTTCATCGTCTCTCTGTCGTCTTCTATTCATCCTCTCTCTTGTCTTCTATTCATCCACTCTCTTGTCTTCTATTCATCCTCTCTCTCGTCTTCTATTCATCGTCTCTCTGTCGTCTTCTATTCATCCTCTCTCTTGTCTTCTATTCATCGTCTCTCTGACGTCTTCTATTCATCCTCTCTCTGTTGTCTTCTATTCATCCTCTCTCTGTCGTCTTTTATTCATCCTCTCTCTCTCTCGTCTTCTATTCATCGTCTCTCTGACGTCTTCGATTCATCCTCTCTCTCGTCTTCTCTTCATCCTCTCTCTCGTCTTCTCTTCATCGTCTCTCTGTCGTCTTCTATTCATCCTCTCCCTTGTCTTCTATTCATCCACTCTCTTATCTTCTATTCATCCTCTCTCTCGTCTTCTATTCATCGTCTCTCTGTCGTCTTCTATTCATCCACTCTCTTATCTTCTATTCATCCTCTCTCTCGTCTTCTATTCATCGTCTCTCTGTCGTCTTCTATTCATCCTCTCTCTTGTCTTCTATTCATCCACTCTCTTGGCTTCTATTCATCCTCTCTCTCTCGTCTTCTATTCATCGTCTCTCTGTCGTCTTCTATTCATCCTCTCTCTCGTCTTCTATTCATCGTCTCTCTGTCGTCTTCTATTCATCCTCTCCCTTGTCTTCTATTCATCCACTCTCTTATCTTCTATTCATCCTCTCTCTCGTCTTCTATTCATCGTCTCTCTGTCGTCTTCTATTCATCCTCTCTCTTGTCTTCTATTCATCCACTCTCTTGGCTTCTATTCATCCTCTCTCTCTCGTCTTCTATTCATCGTCTCTCTGTCGTCTTCTATTCATCCTCTCTCTTGTCTTCTATTCATCGTCTCTCTGACGTCTTCTATTCATCCTCTCTCTGTTGTCTTCTATTCGTCCTCTCCCTGTTGTCTTCTATTCGTCCTCTCTCTGTCGTCTTTTATTCATCCTCTCTCTCTCTCGTCTTCTATTCATCGTCTCTCTGACGTCTTCGATTCATCCTCTCTCTCGTCTTCTCTTCATCCTCTCTCTCGTCTTCTCTTCATCGTCTCTCTGTCGTCTTCTATTCATCCTCTCCCTTGTCTTCTATTCATCCACTCTCTTATCTTCTATTCATCCTCTCTCTCGTCTTCTATTCATCGTCTCTCTGTCGTCTTCTATTCATCCACTCTCTTATCTTCTATTCATCCTCTCTCTCGTCTTCTATTCATCGTCTCTCTGTCGTCTTCTATTCATCCTCTCTCTTGTCTTCTATTCATCCACTCTCTTGGCTTCTATTCATCCTCTCTCTCGTCTTCTATTCATCGTCTCTCTGTCGTCTTCTATTCATCCTCTCTCTCGTCTTCTATTCATCGTCTCTCTGTCGTCTTCTATTCATCCTCTCCCTTGTCTTCTATTCATCCACTCTCTTATCTTCTATTCATCCTCTCTCTCGTCTTCTATTCATCGTCTCTCTGTCGTCTTCTATTCATCCTCTCTCTTGTCTTCTATTCATCCACTCTCTTGGCTTCTATTCATCCTCTCTCTCTCGTCTTCTATTCATCGTCTCTCTGTCGTCTTCTATTCATCCTCTCTCTTGTCTTCTATTCATCGTCTCTCTGACGTCTTCTATTCATCCTCTCTCTGTTGTCTTCTATTCGTCCTCTCCCTGTTGTCTTCTATTCGTCCTCTCTCTGTCGTCTTCTATTCATCCTCTCTCTCTCTCGTCTTCTATTCATCGTCTCTCTGACGTCTTCGATTCATCCTCTCTCTCTGACGTCTTCTATTCATCCTCTCTCTCGTCTTCTCTTCATCGTCTCTCTGTCGTCTTCTATTCATCCTCTCCCTTGTCTTCTATTCATCCACTCTCTTATCTTCTATTCATCGTCTCTCTGACGTCTTCGATTCATCCTCTCTCTCTGACGTCTTCTATTCATCCTCTCTCTCGTCTTCTCTTCATCCTCTCTCTCGTCTTCTCTTCATCGTCTCTCTGTCGTCTTCTATTCATCCTCTCCCTTGTCTTCTATTCATCCACTCTCTTATCTTCTATTCATCCTCTCTCTCGTCTTCTATTCATCGTCTCTCTGTCGTCTTCTATTCATCCTCTCACTTGTCTTCTATTCATCCACTCTCTTATCTTCTATTCATCCTCTCTCTCGTCTTCTATTCATCGTCTCTCTGTCGTCTTCTATTCATCCTCTCTCTCGTCTTCTATTCATCGTCTCTCTCTCGTCTTCTATTCATCGTCTCTCTGTCGTCTTCTATTCATCCTCTCTCTGTCGTCTTCTATTCATCCTCTCTCTCTCGTCTTCTATTCATCGTCTCTCTCTCGTCTTCTATTCATCCTCTCTCTCGTCTTCTATTCATCCACTCTCTCGTCTTCTATTCATCGTCTCTCTGTCGTCTTCTATTCATCGTCTCTCTGTCGTCTTCTATTCATCGTCTCTCTTGTCTTCTATTCATCGTCTCTCTGTCGTCTTCTATTCATCGTCTCTCTGTCGTCTTCTATTCATCGTCTCTCTGTCGTCTTCTATTCATGCTCTCTCTTGTCTTCTATTCATCCTCTCTCTGTCGTCTTCTATTCATCCTCTCTCTTGTCTTCTATTCATCCTCTCTCTTGTCTTCTATTCATCCTTTCTCTTGTCTTCTATTCATCCTCTCTCTGTCGTCTTCTATTCATCCTCTCTCTCTCGTCTTCTATTCATCGTCTCTCTGATGTCTTCTATTCATCCTCTCTCTTGTCTTCTATTCATCCTCTCTCTGTCGTCTTCTATTCATCCTCTCTCTGTCGTCTTCTATTCATCCTC